CACACAGGAGGACTGTCACTACTCAGCTCATGCAGCACACCGCACACAGCAGGTGACACACAGCACACACAGCACACACCACACAACTCACAGCACACAACACACAACACAGAACACACAACACACAGCAGCTCATGCAACACACAGCACACACCACGCAGCAGCTCGTGCAGCACACAACACACACCGCACAACACACAGCAGCTCAAATACCACACGGCTCACAGCAGCTCATGCAGCACATAACAGCTCTTGCAGGATCGCCAGTACGCAGCTCATGCAACACACAACACAATAGCGGTTGTGTGCCGGGCCCAGACTCGTGCAGCAAACGTCGTGCACAGGAACTCACACCACGAAGTATGAATTGGGCAGAAAGATCCCCCAGCATGCATCTACACTTTACATACGCCTGCCCTAGTCTGCGCTACCACCTATACCAACGGCACCGACTCAACTTGCCCAGTTTTGGCCTGGACCTTACCCGACTACGGGCTCATCCCACAGAATAGCGGTTGACACCGCTGGCTTTCCGGGCTGTCAATTCGACAGTGAGGTCGTATGCCCAAGAGCGGTTGGTACTGGCCCAGCAATATTCAGAATTGCATATGGGGCGTGCGGTCAGTCCCAACAAACTTAGTCAACGGTCAGGCCCACACACAAACAAAACAACGAATCTGCACTACTACAGTACAGCCCCTGTGTCCCGCCGCAGGCCGCAGATAACAGCAAGTCAATGCAAGTCACGTGGCGCGGTCTCACTGCAGTCTTCACTGTGTTCTTATCTCGTGCTTTTCTTTGCTGCATTGCCTTTACGCGGGGCTCCTTTCCTCTTCGATGACGCCGCTGGAGTGTCACCGCCTTTGTGTGCTGCTGCTGTCTTCCCTGACAGCCCCTTCCCCGCCCGCGCATCTCTTTCCTCTTGCCTTGCAGCATTCATCTGACGTAGCTTTTCTGCTCTCTTCTGCTCGTCGGTAATGCCTTGGTATCTGTATTCCCAACGAGCCTTGGACAAGTTATCAACCAGCCTCAGGTCCTTCAGCTGGATCGTCACCCTCTTGCAGTGGATAGCAATGATGTTCGTTCTCTCGAAATGGTTGATGAGATGTGCTTCCGCCGCTTCCATCGATGCACGTATGGCGCTCATCTGAAACCTCATAGACTTCCCCGGTGCGATATCTGTTTCGACGATCTCGCCCACTACCCTCATAAACGGCCTCAAAGCGATGCACAAGTTAGTAGATTGTTGGAGTTGCCGAATCTCTGCCAATGCTGCCATCCCCGGGCGGCGTCTGCGCTTAGGAGCTGGGGCAGCGGCTGCTTTGGGAGTCTCGCCTCTACGTGGGACAACTTTTTCTTTGCCTTGTGCTTTTGTGGGACTCCTGGGATGACGAGGCGGCCTGGACGTGCACTGCTTCTTCTTCTTCTCTGCCCTCCCTGTCWTGTGCTCCACAGGGGTGTCATCGTCGTCGGGCTGTGCGTGAGAACATCCCCCATCATGTGCCATTTCCGGAGCGTCGACCTCAGAGGAGAAATGTGAAATGTCCTGCTGCTGCTGTGCTGTTTGTTGAGGGTTGATTGCAGCACGACCGTCGTCATCACCCGCGTACTGAATGTGTCGCAGCAGTCCATCCATGAACGTGAGCTGGAAAGGGACACCGAGAGGGTCTCTCAATCTCATGCACATCTGTTCCCCATGCTCATATGTCATGGGACAGACGACAGGGACCCACCCAAGTAGTGATGTGCACCCGTATCTGCGTCGAATGCCCTCCAGCAACAAGTTATTCGTCGAGGGCCGTGGTTGGTCGGTGCACGCGTCTTCCACAATGAACCACATCGCCCGGTCATTGTGGTCGTCATATCCCATGCACACCATCTGCCGATCTTCCTCCCTTATCTTCTCCCAACAACGTTGAGCGTGTTCCTCCAGCAATCGCCGGTCCCTCACATGAGGATTGCAAACGGAAACACGTGTCACCACCACCAAGAACTGCCAATGCTCCACAACGCCAGCATGCATCCAACCCAAAGGCAGCCACTCACCGGATTGCATCCTTGCTGCCAGTGTCACTTTGCCATCAACAACTGTTGGATGCAAAGAACCAGNTGTCTGTCTCTGTGTGTCTGTGTCTCCGTGTATGTGTCTATTCCTGTCTGCGTACGTCTGTGTCCTGGGAGTGCATGTCTGTGTATATCCGTGTATGTGTATGTCCGTATGTCCGTGCCTGTGTATGTCCGTGTGTCCGCCTGTGTCAAACGGACACACGGACATACACAGACACGGACATACGGACATACACATACACGGACATACACGGATATACACAGACGTACACTGATATACACAGACATACGCAGACAGGAACAGACACAGACAGGGGGACAAGGACACACAGACACAGTCAGACATGCAGGAAAGACACACACAGACGCACACAGACACAGGCACGGACACAGTCAGGAAGTGTGTTTGTGTATGTCCGTGTGCCTCGACATGCCCGTGTGTCACATTAAGTCACGGAATGTCACAAAGACGGGAAGTATGATAGTCACTTCCCTTCACCACCGCAGACGTCAAGAGTGTGCATGGTGTAGTCATAAAACGAAAACAAACAGAGGGAGAGCAGGACATGGGATATAGGACGAAGAGAGTGCACATGTTGTAGGGAGAAGAAAACAAACAGACGGAGAGCAGGCTTGAGTTTCAAGGTACACAGGCAACCATACCTTTGTTGACGAATGCAACGGCGTACACTGTACATTGAATGCTTCAGAAGATGCAGATTTTGGTTTGATAATTCTGCTTCGGTGGTTCAACCGTGCAGCGCATATGACAACACAAACAGGCACAGGATTAGTGAACAATGTGTCATACACACGCCCACATACTAAACGACAGACACATACTCTCGGTCATTGATGTGTTATGCACATAATTGTCAGCTGCAATTTGCCAGCCCTCACTCACACATAATCTGTTTATGTGTATGTCAGTGTATGTCACCATGCATTGTCACACATGTCGTAGTATCGCATTGTACACAATGACATCACCACCATCACAGTGCACAAAACGAGAAGATGTCTGTGAACAAGTCCTCTCCATATATTGTCTCTGTTGTGTACCTCACAATTGCAGAAGTATTCACATCATTAGACGCAAGTGTGTTCACAACACGCATCGTCAACCCCCTGAATGAGCACAAGTCTTCACACCATACACAAGGATAAAGAAGAAAAGAACACAGTTGTGGCCTGCCATATATTTCCAAATCATGATAACAAAGATTGTTCAAGTCCCCTGACCTCAAGCGCCTAGCAGCGTAGCACAAACTCCCGTCGAACTCACCGAAGTGGCGAGTCCACATCAGCGCCACCTCAACAACATACACACAAGCGGTGAACAGAGCATACAATATCAGCCACCACCTGATAAATAAATCAGACACCAGCGCCACAAAAACAAGAGAGAGACAAACCAGCGGGACGACGAAACAGTCAAACACTAAGGACGCAGAAGAAGCACAGCACCAACAGTCTCTGACGTCGATGAAGCTCACACGATGAACTCTCTGAGAACAAGCAGCTATGGCTGCACCTCACCAACTCCACCCTAAACTTGACGAAGGTCTGAGGCTTACCGCACGGTCTCCACTATCAGTCCTGTGATAGGCCAGACCGTTGCTAGCCCCAGACTCATGCAGCACACAGGAGGACTGTCACTACTCAGCTCATGCAGCACACCGCACACAGCAGGTGACACACAGCACACACAGCACACACCACACAACTCACAGCACACAACACACAACACAGAACACACAACACACAGCAGCTCATGCAACACACAGCACACACCACGCAGCAGCTCGTGCAGCACACAACACACACCGCACAACACACAGCAGCTCAAATACCACACGGCTCACAGCAGCTCATGCAGCACATAACAGCTCTTGCAGGATCGCCAGTACGCAGCTCATGCAACACACAACACAATAGCGGTTGTGTGCCGGGCCCAGACTCGTGCAGCAAACGTCGTGCACAGGAACTCACACCACGAAGTATGAATTGGGCAGAAAGATCCCCCAGCATGCATCTACACTTTACATACGCCTGCCCTAGTCTGCGCTACCACCTATACCAACGGCACCGACTCAACTTGCCCAGTTTTGGCCTGGACCTTACCCGACTACGGGCTCATCCCACAGAATAGCGGTTGACACCGCTGGCTTTCCGGGCTGTCAATTCGACAGTGAGGTCGTATGCC